ATTGCGTGTGCATCGATAGGTGCCCCAAGGTTTAACCATATAACTCCTCTATTGTATGAGCCGCACTGGCTCCCTGTTTCTTTCTGATTGCAATTCAAGGTGCTGGTTATTATCTTTAAAACCATATATAGCACAAGGCCAGATTATCTGCCGGACTGCCTCTCTCTAAGGACATCTATCTACTCATCTTATCAAATCAGATAGGGTGGAGATGGTCCTAGTCCCTTCCCTTAAACATTGCCATCTGGTGGGAGCTAGAGAGTATGCCTCTTCTGTGGCAGCCCCTGCTCTGTGGAAGACCCTTCCGCTTGAAAGTCAGCAGGTGTCCACCCACCCAGCCTTCCAAAAACGACTTAGGATCTGGTTTTCCTCCCCACATCCTGGGATAGGCTGAGATGGATAAGAGGATTTAACAAGGGTATTGGAAGCTTAACTTTGGTGCCAGGCTTTTTAAGGTTTATGGTTTTAATAGATATTATGCTATTTTTATTGATGTTATTTTAATTGTTTAAAATTGGGAGCCATCCAGAGTTTGGTATAAGTTGGGTGACTATATAAATTTTTAAAATAAATAAATCAATGAATAAAATTACTTACAGGGATGGCCAGCGTGGTGCCCATCAGATTTCCTTCCACACTTGATTTTATATGTTATAAAGCAAAGCAACATTTGCCTCTAGCATTATTTTAATTTTCAAGAATGCCTCCGGTTCCCATGTAGGCCTAGAGGCATTCTGAGAAAATTGAATGGGATGAATATCTGTACCCCATTATTTGCTTGAAAAAGTGTCATTGGGATCCTGATAAATGGGTATTTTGTAACTGGGCATACTCACTAATGCATGCACTGAGGACAGGCTAGAATTTCCGGTGCTTGTCAAATTGTGACAGCATCCACAACACGCAGTTAAAATTCCAAATATTCCCTGCAGTTCAACCCTTTTCTTATGAATCACAAAGACAGCATGCTAGCCAGTGAAATAAAGGGAAGAATCTGTAGTATCATTAAAACTATCAAATCTGGCATAAGGTTCTGGGAACTAAGGTATACTTAGTTAAACATAAAATATTATCCTCCATTGACAGGTTGCAGAAGTACAATCTGTGATAGTGCAATTGCTGCTTAAACCTAAGCAAAATAAACACAGTGCCAACATACCAGTAACTGTTAATAATTTAGTAAATTTGCCTTTACTAAACAAATTAACACCTCTAATAGAACAGATAGCCATTTCTCTTTTCCAAACATACAGAATGAAATGTATTAGTTCTTATTCCTTTAATTTAAACTGTGAAAGTGAAATTCCTATGTTGAAGAACAGTGAGAGGAGTAGAAAAGATATATCACCACAATGTTGGAAGTGCAAGAAAATGTTAGGCACTTATTATCATATGTGGTGGACTTGTTCGAAAGCCAAAGAATTTTGGCGGCTAATAAAGACTTGGTTGGAGGAAATGTTGGGACTGAAGATAGATCCCAGGCCAGAATTGTTTTTACTGGGAATGATAGATGGGAAGTTTAACAAAGGAGAGACATATCTAGTGTTGCATATCATAACAGCAGCAAAGTTGGTGTATGCCCAGAACTGGAAAAACGGTAATTCCCCGGTGGAGAGTGAACTAATTAAAAAAAAATTGATATGTGCAGAGATGGGTAGATTATCCTTAGAAATTAAAGACAAGGATGAAACAGAGTATTACGAAGTTTGGGATAAGATGTACTATTGGTTAGACTCGAGGAGAAAAAGTCAAAACAGAGAAAGCTCATCTAGAAGAGAGAAAGTGTAGATTTCTAACCTCAAAGTGAGCGTAAGATAGAGATCAGAATATGAAATAAGTATGGAAATGGAAGTTATGCTATAAATAGACATAAATATGTATGTAAATATATAAATATGTAAATAGTATAAAATGCAATATGTAAATGGTATAAAAGATCAACGACTAGGAAGATATATGGTATATGGTATAGTATGTATGGCAAAATAACAGCCAGAAAAGTCACACTGTGTTCAACCTGTTTTTAAATGTTTACTTAATAAAAATAAAAAATAAAATAAAAAAACAGTGAGAGGAGTAAATAAATGTAAAAGGATTTCTTTCATTGGCTCAGTTCTTTTTCTCTTTGGTTGAGATGTTCCTGCCAAATAAGATTCATTTACTTATATTATGTACTCTAAATCTCCAGCAGTGTGTTCAGGAATACATCAATCTGTAACAAGTTGAACTGTCAGCTTATCCTTGAAGCTCTATTTGACTGCTTCCAGACCAAGGAGAGCTGAGCAATTGGAAATGCTCCCTCCCAAATTGCTTCTGTTGGTCCTCAGGCTCAGCTGTTTTGGTTTGGATTGTTTTGCATTTGCATCTGAGATCAGCCTTAAAATTTAATGTTGTTAGTTGCATAAGAGATATGCAAATGCTCTTGAAAAAAAAGCTCTCCTATTCCTTTGAACTTGTGGTCAGTTTTCTTCTTTCACCAAAAGTTATGCTTAGTTGAAGATGAAACATACATCCTTGTCTTCTTTAGATTAAGTGTTAGAAAGTTAAGGCTGTTTACAAGAAGTCATGAGATTAAGAGATGGTAAAGGCCTTTTAGTGTTCTTTACTTGAAAGCATTTTTATTTCATAATGGCAAATAGTAGAATTTCCAAATCCACATTTGCTTCTTCCTCTGGTTTTCCTTCCTTCAGAACTTACACAGACAAACAGAATGAACGAACTTTGTTAGCATTAGCCATCTTCAGTCTGAACACATAACTTTTCCATTGATCCAATGATTACTATCAGGGATCATCAGGGGTTTTTTTTTGTCATAGAACACCCAGAATGGAGTTCCAGCACCTTTTTTGCATGGAGCCTTGTAAGGTAGGCAAGGCAGGTTGTATGACATGTGTGAGTTCCGGCACCTTTATATATATATATATATATATATATATACAAAAAAAGCACTGGGGATCATTGATGTGTAAATACATGTGTAAGATAGATGAAAATATTCCATCTGAGGAGGATTAATGGGACTGTCTAAATGGACTGGATGGCACTGGGTGCTTAAAATTCTATGTATGTTGAAACACATTACAATCTGATCTCTGGCATCAACCAGCAGTCTCTAAGAGGCTGTGTTCCCTGCCTCTAAGGAATAAATTTGTGGAAATAGAAAACCAATTGGTCACTATCTAACACAGGGGTCTTCAAACTTGGCCCTTTTATGACTTGTGGACTTCAACTCCCAGAATTCCTCAGCCAGCGTGCCTGGCTGAGGAATTCTGAGAGTTGAAGTCCACAAGTCATAAAAGGGCCAAGTTTGAAGACCCCTGAGCTAATAGCTAGAGAAGTTACTGTATTGTATTCAGATACTTCCCTCTTCCTCCCCATTCCTTCATACTGGGTTTATTGGTTGCGAGACTGGAAGTAAATTTTCTCTTCTGCTGATAATAATATCCAATAATTATATTCTACATGATTATGTGTTATCATATATACTGTATCTATGATTATGTGTAAAAAGACACAATCATGGTTATGCCACAGTTACTGAAAGTAATAAGGCTTGCACATGCTGTACTGTGGAGCTGTGAAATAATGAGTCATCATCTCCCACATATCTCGAGAGAAAACATTTGGAGCAGAGCAGTGACACTATTTCAGTTATATGCTTACTAGAAGGCAGTGGTAAAATGTGATTACTGTGAGCTGAAATCATTACATAGAGACTGAAAACTAATTGTGGAAACTCCTGGCAAAGTGCCAAATTAGGTTTTGTAGATAGAATATTTAGTGTTTTCGAGCAATTGTCTTTTGAGTACCCTGTACTCCATATATCTTGCTTTGTGACTATATTGCATTTTTATACCAACAACTATTTTTCTCTAGGTAACTTTTAGCTCCAACTCAAGCAGATGAAACCATTCGAACCAATCAGAATGACTAAATGATTTTAAAACAATTAATTAGACCAACTTTCTCTAATTGACTCTGCCCATCCTACTGATGCTCTGAATACTGCTATATTTATGGCATTTTCCTGATCTACTAAGCTAGTATCTCCATCAAAGGAGATGATGTGCTGTAGTTAATTGAACCTTAGTCACCACTCAGCAGGATTATTGTAACATGCTATGTGTAGGTCTATCCTTGGACTCTGAGAAGCTACCATTTTTACAAAGCACGGTAGTTAAAATGTTGGTAGGTCAATCACACCAGTGCAGAATAACATCTAACAATAATAGGATACAGTGGTACCTTGGTACCCAACTTCTTTGAAACTCATCAAATTGGTATCCAATGCATTTTGACATAAAAAAATTGTCCTAGTATACATGAACGCACAAGCTAGAACTTGTTGGTGTCAGTACCTTGTGACTCACTATATTATTCTTTATGCAAAAAATTTGTTTGGTACTCATTGTTTTTGGTACTCATTACACCTCCCAGAGCCAATTAACAATGAGTACCAATGTACCACTGTATTTCTAGGCCTGAGTCAAACTGCTGTTCTTTACTTATAAAAACCTACACAGCATAGCACAGTTTAAACAAGCAATATCAGAATAGAGTTTGTCCATTTGCTTTGGTCCTTGTGAAAAGGCCAGCACACTGATCTTTTAAGACACATGGGGTATAGACAAGGTGAGTAGCAGTTTCCCTTTTATGGAGGTCAAAACAATCTCACTCTCTCATGCCCTTGGCTCAAGCTAATTATCGTTTAATAAAATGTGTTGTATTATTTGAGGAATTGTTTTATTTGGATTTTTGTATAATTTTATGTCTTTGTTTTGCTGTCCTTCAGGATTAGGGCAAGCTAGATATTCTGTAAGATGGTAGATAGGTAAGATATGATGGTCAGCACAGAGAGAGACTGATAACAAATGAAGCCGAGTGAATTTAATGTTATTTCAATCTTTAAATGTATGACTGCTAAGGTTTTATCTTAATAAAAGTCAGCCTCTTGATTTGCAAGACTAACATACTATTTGTGTTTTATTTGCTAGATAGAAGATATCATAACAAGAATGCAGGATGACAAAACAGGTGGAGTGCCCATTCGCACGGTCAAGAGCTTTCTGTCGAAAATCCCTAGTGTTGTCACAGGTATGAACAGAATTGAAAGGTAACATGTTGTTTATCTGCACCCTTATTAAGATTGTAGCGTGAGCTCACACTGTGAAGGAAATTCAAAACCTTCATCAGTGGTTCTCTCCAACATGTGCCTAAATAATTATATCCCCTCTAATTCTAGTTTTAATGCTGATGCCTCAAGGCCAGAAGTAAATGGTTCCACTCAGCAGAATGAACAGGAGGATTAGCAAGCACAGGAGCCTAGTTTAACTCATTTTAAAAGAAGTATCTAAAAAACTGTGACCCTACAGAAAGGTCAGTGAATATGACTAAAATATCCAACTTCGTTAATAAGCACATATTCTTTCAATGGCTGGCCTCTGAGCAAAACTTCAAGGAAACTGGCACAGGTAATTCAGGAGGTAGAAAACACCTTCCAGGTAACTTTGAGGTAATGGACAAAATGTTTCAAATGAAAAATATTTTCAGCATAAAACAGCTTTTTCCCACCTTCCCAGAAGTGTTAGAATGCTGTTCCAAAAAGATGTTGTTTTGATCTCAGAAAGCTTCTGAAATAGTCAGAACAACATTGAAGTGCTTCTAGTCTGGTTAAGACAGCTATTTCCTACTCAAAATAGTATGTTTCAAAGTCAAAACCTTTGTACCCATTGACAAGGAGGGCTGGGAACCAGGGAAGCTGAGATAGTTCCCAAGTAGAGTAGTTTTTGCTTCAGCAGTTGTGGGCCACCTGGCTGCTTCTTTGGACTTGATTTTGAACAGCAGAATGCTATATGTACATCAACCTCCTGTATAAGTATGACCATTGGCACAATTTTCTTCATCTTCACCAACAATCAGAATCACTTGTTTTGTCTCCCCACCCCCAGCAGTGCAGATTTGAGCTAATTATGTTGTCAACATAGTTTTGGAAGTGAAATGGGAAACAATGTTGAAGGTAGTGAGGGAAAACGACGAGTGAGGAAAGGGTTAAGAATTTTCCCCCATTGGATTCATTGGCAACCTTGGCCTCCCATTTCAATTTTACAAAGTAAAATCGGTGAAAGATTGGAAAGCATGAAGATGGTGGATGTGGAAACTGTAGCTTTGTCCCAAATAGCTAAGAATGGCTACCAAGTTTCAGAGAGTCAAAGACCCTGTCCTGTGCTCTGTTTGAGCACCTGTCTTGGAAGTTGTTTTCTCTGATTTCATTTGGTGGCTTCCAGACACATCCTTTCCATTAGCACAAGAGCTGATGAGAGAATGAAAAATCTCAAGAAGTTGCCAAAATTGCAGCATCATGTTGCTGAAAGTGTCATAGAAGGTGATCTCAGGCAGATCCATTTCAGGGCAAGAGGGAGCTCTGGGCAAGAACACAGGTTCCAGTATGGAAAGGAAAGGAAGGCAAAATGCAGTCACCCATGAATCAAGGCAGAGCACAGAAGGTAGGAAAAGTTTTTGTAATTTTACAAAGATTCATATTCCATACAGAACACTGCATAGCTCCTTATCTACAGATACAGAAAAAGAAGATCTGGTGTAAACGCTAGGGGAAAAAAAAATCAAACTAAATTGAGTTGGGTACCTTTGCTGATAGCATTTTCTTTTTCTGGAGGCAAAGGCTTTAATGGCTGTCAGAAGGTAGGAATGGGTAAGAACAAGCCAGCTATTCTGTATATTGCTATACAAGCTTAGTACAAAGTATATTTAGAAGAGTTTTAGTGAATGTGTGTTTGTGTATGTGTGTATGTGCGTATACTGTGTGTGCAGTGTGTGTAGACAAAAATTCCCTTCTCACTCCCTATGGGTGGTATGTGTCCTCAGTCTTTGGGAGTTGGAGGTTCTGCACAGTATCACAGCTGTTCCTAGTACTGCACTCTTCTGGACAGAAAGCTTTAATGTTGTCCTGAGATCTGGTGGAGCCATTTTCCCAGCTTAAGAGTCACAAGTGCGCCTACCACAACTGAGACTACTTTAGCCTTTACTTTCCACATCTTCTCTAGTTCCTCCTTCAGACTCCGGTACTTCTCCAGCTTTTCATACTCCTTTTCCTGATGTTGCTGTCACTTGGCAGCACTACCTCAATCACCAACATTGTCTTCTGGTCCTTGTCTACTAACACAATATCTGGTTGATTGGCCAGTACCAGCCTTTCTAGCCCATGTGCAGAGGTACATAATGCCATTCATTGTATACCATTCCTGCCCCTATCATGTACCCTACCACTATGTGTTGGGCAGTCTCTGAGGCCTTTCTGCACACTCTGCACCTCTGGTCCTGGGTCATGTGGTAGATCCTTGTTCCTATGGATCTGGTGTTAATGACTGTTCTTGTGGTGCTGTGATCCTCAGTGCTATCTTTTAGTCCAGTTGCCTTGTGAAAAAGCATCTTTGGGATAACAGCATTTCTCCTTAACACACACTTGCCCAGTGTTCTAGTTCTGAATTCTTGGTATCTGCTCTCCACTGTTTACAGTCCAGAGCTGCATTTTCCATTTTGCTGGCTGTTTTGCCGATTTCTTCCTTGGCTTCAGCTGCCACAGTCCCTGGCTGTAGATCATCTGGCTTCTGGCTATCTCAGCCCACACCTCCACTGTTCCACATTTCTTCTAATTGCCTCTCATTCCAGCAGCTTCTCCAGCCAAACATAGGAGAAAATCCCTCTCTTTTTGAAAAAAATTACATGCCAATTCTAAAGAGCTTAAACTGGTTTCCATTTTTCTCTGCAACTGCCTACGTGGCCAAACTGTACCTTTGACAGATGACTGTAGAGAAAGAAATCAACCTTGACAATTGCATGTAACATTATTTTAGGGCAGTTCATTCTTCCGCAGGGGCAAGGAGGGATCATACCATATTGGGGCTTCTGGTTTGAAATGGACTATCTCAGTAGATGGCACTGCCACTTGTTCAGATTGGAAAGCTGGTGAGGTGAGCTGCCTTGGAACTGAATTCCTAGAATCATGGTTTATGTTGAGGGCAATTACATGTTCTACTCTGGTGGAGTGGGAGGAATTGATTCTGAGTTGTACCCAGGGCTTTTTTCCTTATAGAATGCCCAGAACGGAGTTCCGGCACCTTTTTTGGATGGAACCTTATAAGGTAGGCAAGGCGGGTTGTATGACGTGTGTGAGTTCCGGCACCTTTTTTTTTTTTTTTTTTTAGAAAAAAAGCACTGGTTGTACCATTTATTTTTTTGAGGATTCTAAAACCCACAGACATTGTCAACAGAAGAAAGTGCTGCAGTTAGTTGAACTACCTATTTTAATTTGTGAAACACATTTAATAAAATCAGAAATATCCCAAGGAACTTTTAAATTTGCAAATTCTACTTATGTTATCTGTACTTTCAAGCATTATCTGAGATCTGTATTTGATATTTTACACAATATGATTTATCAAAGCAAAGTAGCACATAGAGTCATTACTTATTAAATTTGGCAGTGTACATAACGAATGAATTATGCAGATTAGATATATTTGCTTAAATGTGGCACATTGTTGCATGTTTATTTGTGGCCTCACTTATTCCCTTTGTGTTGTCAAATTAGGCTGTGCAGACAAATGTCTAAAGGACTCATTCCCAAAAGCTAAAATAACAGCAACACAAT